TGCCCCATTCATCTCAGTGTGGTCTTAACACTGTAGTTATTCTAAATGTCAACACTGTTAACTTTTCTACTGATGAAAGATGAGGGAAAATCATATCATGAATAAGCTCCTGTGAGTGGCATCTCATTTTGGCATCTAGAATTCATGAACATTAATCTGTAGATGGAGCTTAGTTTGGGAGCAAAGCTCGGATGAATACTGCTACTCCACTTTCCCACCCTCCATTTCAAGATCTGATATGTATTGTTCAAAATAATGTTCCTTTGCTACACCGACCTGATGGCTAGAATTGTCAATAAACCGTATTAGAACTCTAATAAAACAACTCTTCAAGTTACTAGTCATTTGCCCCTTATCACATGCCTGAAAAGGCCCGTTAAGTGATCAACAGTGAGGCAAATTGTAAGTGTGTATGAAAATGAAAAGCCCTCTTCAGTTACACAGATGAAATATACTATGGTGTATATATAGTGTTACGTCACTGCTGTTGTGTTACGAATCTCTGCCTGACTAGCCCACTTCTTGCAAGTCACTGTCCAAACAGAAAGAAGGTGGGACATTTATGTACATATTTTCAAACATTTTCTCTATATGCCTCATACTACATCCAGGTGGAATCTCTGGTACAGGGAGCCCTTTCCTTAGCAGAGAGATTAGAGGAACAACCATGGTTGATAACAGTGTCAGTGAGTCATCAGTAAGGATTCGTGTTTGTCACGGAGGTCATGGAAGTCATGGATTCTGTGACTTTCTGTGACCTCCATGACTTCTGCAGCTGCCAGTGTGCCTGACCCAGGGGTCGCCTGAGCAGCTCGCCCCCCCAGCAGCAGGAGTTTGGATGTGGGGGGGCGTCAGGGATGAAGATTGGGGTGCAGGCCGGTGCTTACCTGGGGGGCTCAGTTCCTAGCTCCATGTGCTGCCTCCACCTGCAGGCACCACCCCTGCAGCTCCCATTGCCTGTGGTTCCCAGCCAATGGGAGCTGCAGAACTGTGGCTGGGGGAGGCAGCACATCCAGCTGGGAGCTGGAGGTCGCTGCTTCCCAGGAGCCAGGTAGGGAACCTTCTCCAGCCTCACCAACCCCCCCCCCCCAGTACCCCCGCTGCAAGCACCTGCGGTGTCCCCAGGCCATCCGTCCCCCAGCGAGCACCCGCAGCACCCCCAGGACATCCCCCCGAGCTGACCCCCCCCCCATGCTTTAGTCTGGGGTATATAGTAAAAGTCATGGACAGGTCACGGGCCGTGAATTTTTGTTTAGAGCCCTTGACCTGTCCATGACTTTTACTAAAAATACCTGTGACTAAAACATAGCCTTAGTCATAAGTTTACCATGGGGAAGTGACTTCTATTTTGATTTGAGCTGTATGAAGCAATTATCTGAACTGTAGCTTTTACAGTAGGGGAAATTGCAAGCAAAACATTGCACTCTGGCATATTTATATGAGAGAAAAATTTCATCATGAAAACTGACAGTGGCCTCGACTAGCCAAATTTCACCCTCTTTAAATCCACAAACTCTCACTTGCAAATATTCATAAAGTGAAAACTGAGGCACCAGTCCTGGGCTAGCTTTTTTTGTATTGCAGTTAGTGAGGGAGGACATCTTTGTGCCTCTGTTTCTTGTGCTACCCAGTTTGTGCCTAGTTTAATCCCCAATTTAAGGACTGTTCTTTACATCTAATTATATATAGACCCAATGAGCCATTCCTTCAACCAGGGACCACTGGGGTGTCAGGATGCCAGCCACATCCCCCTTCTGAACCCATGTTCACTTGCATTGACAAGTTGTAGCTAGACATAGAGTCATCAAAATGTACATCTGGAAGGGATCTCAAGGGCCGTCTGGTCAATCCCCTCGCCCCACATTGAGGCAAGATTAAGTGTACCTAGACCATCCTTGAAAAGCGTTTGTCTATCCTGTTCTTAAAAACCTCCAATGATAGGGATTCTACAAACCCCTTAGGAAGTCTATATCCTCCTTTGAAAACCACTCATTCACAAACAACACACAAAATGAACCGCCACCCTCAAGTAGTTCCATACTTGTGATCAATCCCTCCTCAGGCATAACATTATAGCTGGTTGCCTAAAATTAGGCACATACACGTAGAGAGTCACCTGTAAGCAGCTCTGTTTTCAGAAGTGCTGAGCACCCACATCTCCTATGAAACTTGATGCACCGATAGCAAGATTGAGGACCTGTGGGACTGTCACACAGATCTAGTTCTGAGAATGGGGATGTCCTTTACCAGGCTCCTTCTGCACTATTTTCCCAGGGCTTCATTTATGGTTCTTTCCATTTATTCTCTTCCTGTATAGTCTCACTGATGATTTGGGAAAGAAGAGGGATTTACCCTATAGCACCAGGCATATTGGGGCCCTCGGGCCTTACAAAAATATAAATAACTACTAATCAAATTAATCAGAGTCTGGGGTGGGAGGAGAGCACAGAAAGTCTGGGGTGGGAGGAGAGCACACTTTTTTTAAAGTGTTTTATTTTGATTGAAATAAATCAGTATTCATTTGGATTAAGATAGTTTCTTTATTCAAGAATGTAACAGCTCAGAAGTTTTTATTTTTCCTGATTTCTCCTCCAAACTGCTTCTCTAAACTCACTCTACTGTTCTCAAGTAGGTATTGCATTTACTCCCTCATGCTGTATTTAGTTAGGATTATAAACAATGTAAGTGGACTTGGAAGGATTAGATTTGTATCTGCAAGTGTCAATGAACGTCTATTTCTCCATACACACACAAACCGATGACAAAATGTTTCCATCAATAATCTAAATTTACACATAGGCAAAGAAAGAAAAATGCTGCTTGCGAACATATTAGCATTTGACTTATGGCTATTTATTGTGAATTTTGACATATGATGTTGACAATTTGTGTTTTAATTGTTCTAAATAGTAATCTACCAAATTCACGGCCATGAAAATTCTGTTGCGAGCCATTAAATCTGGTCTCTCCATGAAATCTGGTCTTTTGTGTACTTTTACCCCATACAATACTATAGGGTAAAAGTATACAAAAGTATACAGCATTTGTCAAACCAGGGGTCCTGACCCAAAAGGAGGTTGCAAGCCTATTGTAGGGCGGGCCATATTATTGCCACCCTTACTTCGGCACTGCCTTCAGAGCTGGGTGGACAGAGAGCGGCAGCTGCTGGCTTGTTTGGGTTGCAACAAAACACACTCTTTATCCAGGTTAAAGAGACAGAGGATAATTGACCTCTAAGACATAACTTACAAGGAGTTTTCACCCAAATACACCAGAAATACAAAAGAAGAGTGTTAGCGGAGATGAAAATAAGATGTGTTGGCTACTTAAAGCATAGGAGACGAGAGAGAGAGAGCGGGAAGAGAGAGAAACATGTACAGGCATGTCACATCTTAGGCGCATTTAACATGTGCGAATTCAGCTTTGCGCAGTCAGCAAAAACAGGGGGGAAAAAGAACAATATAAAAACTGCATCTGTAGTGCGGGCGATTCTGCCCGCCATTGAACTCACTGAGTGTTTCACTATATGCGGTTTTCCCTTTACGCGCTAACCGCGGAACGGAACCCCCGCGTAAGATGAGACTTGCCTGTATGAGAATGAAAACAAAACACTTTAGATTCTACCAGCTCTCTCCCCATTTCAGAAAATGGGAACTTTGAGGCTCTATGTACTTTTTACCCTTCTCACCCTAATGTTTCAGTGAAGAAAAGGAGGAGTGCAGATTAATCATGCTCTTAAGTGCTATTTATTGGTAAAACAGGAAATAGGAAATAAGTTGATTACATCCAAAACAACATTTCCAAGTGGGGCTATTTTGTTTCTCTTTGGTAACTATAGATGTTCATATTTGTTTTATATTATTTTATCCAAGACCACAATTCAGATAAAAGGGGAAGACTTAACCTAAAAGTGAAATAAAACAGCATTTCAATTATTTTTCTGGGACATTTTTATGATGATTTTACTTTAAACTTGCTGGAGGTTCAAAAGCCTGGCAAAGTTTAAAGCTTCCCCCCCACTCCCTTAAAAAAAGGGGGGGGAACTAGGGAGGGAAGGTTGAGCTCACCTGATAAGGTTTTCTCAGTTTGCCCAGTTCTCATGAGGGTTGAAAAACAGTTAAAATAAATGAACAGCTTTGCAGCTGCTGATCTATGATTTCTACTCATCAGAACCAATATTTGTAACCATTTCACACTAAATTAAGAACATTTGCTGCAACTCTTGTTATATGGAGTGCTTCTACAGTATGTTACTCCCAATTAGGTAAATGAGGAAAAGAAAGAAAAAAAGCTTAAGCAAGCTACTGAAACCAAACAAAATGAATCTTTATCTGGGTCACACACAACTTGCTAAAAAATATGATCAGTAAATTAACAGTCATTTCAAAAAAGAAAATCTGCATTAAATTTAATGTTTCCCAGGTGCCTAACCTGAAAATTATACATCAGTAAGGTAACCAAGCCATCTACCAATCAGAACAAAAAGGATTTGTCCTATTTTAATATGTAACATGTACAACATTTTCAATATTCTTCAATTGAAAACATCTTAGTAGTCACCTAGTCATTGGTCTACCTCTGTAGAATAAAATATATTAATGACTATTGCAGAAGTTTCATTTAATGTAGTTTGTAGTTAAATTTACGTTCATTTAAAGGCATTTGGAAAATGATGATTACTCCAAGTTACTAATCTTTATGTTACTGGTCATGTCTGACAACCAAACTGCACATTTGATGATCATAAAGGCAACAGTGACTGTTACTTTTTGGGTCTGACCTATGCATACCTACAATATTTAAATGTATAAACACCTACTAACTGCTGTAACTGGAATTAGTTAATTCAAACCTTGTAAAACTTAACCCCCACCTAGTGACAGTCAAAGGGTGAAAGATGAACAAGTAGTATTGTTAACCACAATAGCAGCTTTAAATCTAACTCCTCATCATCTTCTTCTGTGAGCATGTGTTTTAAATGCTTTCTCATGCAGACTTACAGTGCTGTCGATATATGCTTCAGTCCATACCACATCATGCTCTTGATCAATAACCTTTGGTCGGCTAAGAACATGGAGGTATTCCATGACGTTCTCCTGCACGTCAGCTAATGTAGAGATCTGAGTAAAAAACCCTGTGAAAATACACAGATTCCAAGTTATGAGGCTGACAGAAGGAATTAAGGAAGATTCCAACAATAAATATGATGCATGTTATGTCTGCTGTGGTTTCTTTTTAATTTTCTCCAAAGGAGACATGCAAAAGGATATTCTTTGATGAGAAGCAGCCTTGTCCAGTATTAATTTGTGAAAGCAGAAGTCTGTGAAACAGTGTGTCAGCCTTGAAGGGCTCAGTTCCTGAGACTGTTATACACCATTGCACAGCTTATCCTAAGTATTTGGTTCCAAGACAGTTTTGTGGTTTCATGGTAAAGTAGAAGTTATGGGATTTTTTTTCCATAGTAAATACTTAATAAAAATTAGAACTGTATTCACTCTTTACAAAATTATACCAAACCACGCAAAACTTATCTAGTTTCAGGTGTCAGTTTACAGAGCTGACTTGGGGTCAAAAATGGGGGAAAAAAAGTAGTGGTACTCCACTCCAGATCAGTCCACACTCTCAATCCTGTGTGGCATGGAATGGGAATAAACTCCTGATACCGTAATACATTCTTTGCAAATGGTAGGGACCAATGAGAATAGAATCAGAATTACTTGGGTAAATAATCACAACTTTGAATCATAAACCTTGAAACTGGACTCCTCCTAAAGGCATTATCCTGGCAGCAGTGAAATGGGGAAGGCCACAGCCACCTACACTGTCACCAGCTTTATTCCCTTTCAATGCTCAAATGCAAAGTATCCTTACATGTCCTTGCCCTGCCAATCCCATTTAATCCAAATATGACAAAGGCCTGGAGCAACTCCAAGACCACAGTCTTGCCCAGACTACTGCATGAGTTTACCCAAATTTACCCTCATCTACATTACTGTGTCTGGATCTCCATTCATCACCAACCCTCTTCTCTGCTACAGGAGAACTGATGCCTAATGGACAGGAAAGAGGCATTACCACAACCACTGATCTTTAAAGGGTTGGAGAACCAGACTTCAAATGGTAATAGGCAGCTGGAAACAACAACTGTTGAGCTGTATTTATTAGAGAGTGACAAACCAGATTGGATAAAATAACAGACCAAAATCTTCCATCAAAATTCCAAGTGGAACTTTTCAGAAAACTTGACTAACTTTTTTTCCTTCCTCATTTTTGTGACCTTTAATATTTTCTGGTTTTAGAGTAGCAGCCGTGTTAGTCTGTATCCGCAAAAAGAACAGAAATACTTGTGGCACCTTAGAGACTAACAAATTAGTCTCTAAGGTGCCACAAGTACTCCTGTTCTTAATATTTTCTAATTCCATTCAGCATCAGAAGTACAAAATCTGAGATGTCTAGTAAATTACCAAACCTAAAGGTTTTTGGATATGTGTAGTGTCATCGCGGTTATAATAGGGGTCTGGGACTTACAACATCTCAGCTTCCTATGTGATTGTAGTATATGACACTTACAGTTTCTTTATCTTTAACATGGGTTTCGTTTATGCTATCTACCTCACAGGGTTGTTCTGAAGCTAAACTGAGTAACATTTATAAAGCATTTTCAGATCCTTGGAATTACAGTATTCCACACCTTTTAAGGTTTTTATACATTTATATCAATAACATATCAAATTATTTACGACAAGTTTTTTGATCCACTTCTCTTTCATTGTTGGTTGCATTTTATATCTCTCTGGTCATTATAAATATAATGCATGTGAGGCTCCCTCCTGTAGATATTAAATAGTCCACAGGAGTGAAAGACTGTGTCAGTTCCCATAGGTGTAATGGGATAATAGTACCTCACAGGTGTGTTGTGAGGAAAACTACATTAAAGGTTGTTAAGCTGTCAGATACCATGGTAGAGAGTGCCATGGATATTTGTGCTGAGAAAAATGAGTAACTCAGACTACTTCAGCCATCCATAATAAGGCATTTCACCTTATTGGTGATCACAAAATGCCTCACTCTTCAATGTAAAGTCCTAGACTGTGGCTCGCCCTTATACAGCCTGCCAGAATTGCAGAACCTGCACTAGGGAGAGGTGCAGAGGCTGTTCCCCCATAGAACCGACTCATCAGAGAGGAATTTGGAAGCAGGTACAGCCAGAGCTTGATACTCCACCAGTTGCTAAGCATGGGAAGAATACATTGCCTTCTTAAGTGGGGGAAGGTGGCAGAGAGTGCTTCCCTCCCCCCACCCCAAAAAGGGAGCTCTGAGAGAGATTGTGCTTCTTTTAGGCAGATCTCACCCACTGTTCCTCTGTGAGGCGCTGTATCTCTGCACCACCCCTTACTATCGGCTTAGTGCTATTAGCATAATCTAGCCTAGAGTGTCTCAACGACTGACCTGTGGACCGATGCCGGTCCCTGACACAGTTTATGAAGGCAGCAAGATGGTCCCTGGTATCAAAAAGGTTGAGAAACACTGATCTAGTCCACACTGAAGGGCCAACTCCACTCATCTTTATGGTCAGAGAGAGTCAGCAAGAAGACAAAACAGTACAAAACAACAAATTTTTGACTAGACAAACATTGTAGCCAATCATAACTCACTCCTCTTTAAAGGACCAAACCTTCAAGATGCTGAGGGCACTCAGCATCGTGCAGGATAGGGCCTTATTATTCAATGTGCCAGCCAATAATCCATGTAGCATTTGATACAAATATGGCATGTTTCCATATATATATTGTGACAAAGTTCCTCCTCTATCTTGGTGGGTCCTGCGCTTATTGGCGGGTTTTCTTGCCTCAGAGATTCACCATGTGGGTTGGGAAACAGCCCAGAGACCTTCCCCTCTGGAAGAACCCACAGTCCAGGTCAATTGGGAGGTCTGGGGGGAACCCGGGCCCACCCTCTACTCCGGGTTCCAGCCCAGGGCCCTGTGGACTGCAGCTGTCTATAGTGCCTCCTGTAACAGCTGCATGACAGCTACAACTCCCTGGGCTACTTCCCCATGGCGTCCTCCAAACACCTTCCTTATTCTCACCACAGGACCTTCCTCCTGGTGTCTGATAACGCTTGTGCTCCTCAGTCCTCCAGCAGCACACCTTCTCACTCTTAGGGCAGGTCTTCACTACGGGGGGGGGGGTTGATTTAAGATACGCAAATTCAGCTACGCGAATAGCGTAGCTGAATTTGACCTATCGGAGCAGACTTACTCCGCTGTGAGGACTGTGGCAAAATCGACCTCCGTGGCTCCCTGTCGACGGCGCTTACTCCCACCTCTGCTGGTGGAGTAAGAGCGTCGATTCAGGGATCGATTGTCACGTCCCGACGAGACGCGATAATTCGATCCCCGAGAGATCGATTTCTACCCGCCGATTCAGGCGGGTAGTGTAGACCTAGCCTTAGCTCCTTGCGCCTCTTGCTCCCAGCTCCTCACACTCGCACCACAAACTGAAGTGAGCTCCTTTTTAAAACCCAGGTGCCCTGATTAGCCAGCCTTAATTGATTCTAGCAGCTTCTTCTTAATTGGCTCCAGGTGTCCTAATTAGCCTGCCTGCATTAACTGGTTCCAGCAGGGTCCTGATTACTCTAGTGCAGCCCCTGCTCTGGTCACGCAGGGAACAGAAAACTACTCATCCAGTGACCAGTATATTTGCTCTCTACCAGACTCCTGTACCTCACTGGTTTGGGTCTGTCACTCTCTCTCTATATATATATTTCC